CATTTAGGAAATGATCAACAAATTACATTTTAAAAAGTATTTAGCTAATAATTTATATCATATGATATATATCACATAACCTAAAAATAGATCGCCTTAAATTTAAAGCTAGTTTTTTGTTTATTTTGATTTTTAATTTATTCAAAAAAATTTTTTAGTCTCAGAACCCTATTTTCCTAGCAAACTTCCCATATAGTTAAGTTTGTGTCATACATCTATACCATGCTATTCAAAGATAAGTCGTTTCTGGACTGTAATTGGTAAGTTAATGATTATTTAATATCTGTTATTCATTGTTTACTTTATTGTTGGTTCATACTGTAATTTAATAGGAGTGAAAAGACTTTGTGTTATTCTGCCATTTTGCTCAACCAGTCACTAAAAGATGATGATAGATGATGTTCTGATAACAAAATTGATGCAATAATATCAATTTTGGAGCTAGACTTAGAGTTCTCAACCTTAAAAGTCTCAAAATCTCTCTCATATCTCGACCATACTCATTATGTTGGGAATAGGAACAAAACCGCTAAGATGCTTAAAATTATCCTGAATTTTATTAAGACCAATTATCAAGGCGACTTTGAAAAGTTTAGAAGAATAAAGGTGTTTGGCGTTCAGATATATTGTAAGTTCAATAAGCTATATAGATAAATCCATTTATGCATATACTTATTTTTTCTTTCATTAATTCTATAGATCACAACTTTTATGTCTATAGCATGTGTATGCCCTTCTCAAGTGTTTATTATTTTAAACAGGAAAACAAATTCTCTTATCCAACGATAATGTTTTTGGTATTCAAGGATTTACCAATATTTGCCTCGAATTTGTGGATCATGCGGGTAAATGATTGCTATGAACTATTAGCATACATATAGTGGTACTAATGTGATATTTTTGAATATCAGAATATAATTATTTCAAGTACTGAGAATATATTGGCTTACGTTACAAGTGTTCCTACTGAATTCGGTAATGATGATACTGTGATTGATAAAGTAAAGATTTCCCCCAAGAAAAAGAAGAATAAATAGGATGTAAATAAGTGGTTAAAACAGTGTATTGATTAAAAAATTATGTATATTTTTATGTGCCATTAGATTTTTATGCTACATGCTTATCATTGCAAAGATTATCTTGTATTCATTAGCATTATTGTAA